AGAAATAAACCTGTATACAAAAAAACAAAAATTTTATTCAAATATTCAAAGCTAAATTCAACTATGTTAACAAAAGGTAATAGGCGATCATAAATTCTGTTACAAGCAGCCAGTATAACTATAGTACCGAAATACAGTAATATGTTACAAGAACGATAAAATGAAGAAATCGACAAAAAATCTTACAACATTCTATGATTTTTTACAATCATATCAAACATGTAATTAAAAAATGTTCAACGATTACACTAAAGATTAACAATGTTTGAATAAAATGAAAGTATGAACACACTTTGAGTCTATTTATCTTTGCAACATAATTAATGTTCGCCATTACCAAATTCCGACATAGATTTGACGACTTTGATTACAAACCATCACGGTGTCTTCTGTTGCTCGTCCTCCAATACGTGGTGCGTTCAATACGTTCTACGTGATCCTTGGAATCAAGTAATGGACTGCAAAAGTATAAATCATAAATTATTTAAAAAGCGGGGAATAATCGTACTAAAATTTCAATTTAAGAGGTAATATTTCTTTCGTGAAAGCTATTAGTAAAACCAACGGTCAAATTGAGAAGTGGAATCGCGAAAAACTTGTAAAACTATTTGGTTTTGCGAAACTCATATTCAAAAAGATATTACGTAAGCAAATATTAAACAAATGAAGTTAACAATCGTATATGAATGATAAAAGGACAGAAATGAAAATTCTATGCAACAATAAATTAAAAATGTACCTGAATTCGATCTCACGTCCAGTTGCCGCGATTTTCATGGGTAGACTGCCCCACCTTATCATGGCGTCGCTTAGCCGTTAGCGGATTGGTCGAGAAATCTAGCTCTTACCGCCATTTCCAAAGCCCGCAATAGCACGAAGATTTGAACTTTGTAGAGGTTCTCATGGTTGACGAAACATGTGTCTGTGGAGTGTATAATGTGAGAACCTCTTTCCTTCGTACGACTATTTTTATAACTATTGTTATTCACATATAATATTATATATTTATTCGCTGTAATTAATTATTACTAGTCAGAATGATTACGAATATATGAAAATACTTATCAAAAATTAAGACTATTGATATAATTTATATGACTACTTTTCACCATGTCGAATTATCAAATCAAATTCGTCATATCATGAAAGTTGTTTCAATTTTATAGTTAATTATAGAAATGTCAAATGAATCTATTTCAAGTTATAGTCCTATTACTCAAAAATCCATGATATTTACTTGTTTCTACCATTAAAATAGAATATGCTGTGATACGAATATTCTCGGAATATGAAAATTTGATCTAATAATTTAACGTGTTTCTATGAAAAGTTAATTTTATTGTTAATAAAATTTTATTAGTATTGTTTCAGGTTAATGTTGTTTTTGTTGTATAAATGGTAATAGAAAATAATATGCAGTAAATAAATGCGTATAAGTACATACTTGTAGCTATGTATGATTCTTGCTATCTCCAGGAGTTTCAACAGTAGACTGTTGCCCCTTTCGTCACATCAGAGTGTTCGACCTACGCAGTTCGCTGATTGGTCGATAGACTTGGCTTGCATTTTTACTTTCAATGCCCGCGATGGACCGAGAATTCGAAATTTACATTGCTTTTTCGGGCAACAAACTATTTAAATTATTATCTGTTCAACATATTTTTAGTTTTAAATACAGACAGTTTTATATTTATAATCTTTCAAATTAAACTTTTTGCACAAAATATGAAGTCATGAAATATATATATATTTCTTCTACCATTTATTATAGATTTGAAATAATAGTAAAAATTGATGTGTGTGAAAATTAAGATTTAAGTTAATATTTTTATGTATATTTAATATTAGAAAAAAAATATATATTCATAGTTGACTGCATGTTAGAAATAGCAAAGGATTTTGACTTATTGCTCAATTGTGCGCGCTAATAAAATGACAAGGTTAGTATTTATTTATTTTGCCAATTTTGGACAACAAAATACGTTCACAAAAATAATTTAAGATACTTAGTGTCGTAATAATTTGTACTTATTGTTAGTCTTAGATAAAAATTTTAGTTTTCTAAGAAATAATATTTTGCATTTTTATTTGTTGGTCAAGCGCAAGTTATATACAAAAATTCCTTGAATGTTAACATAATAAAAACGGTTTAAAAAAACATAAAATAATTTAAAATACTTTTAGTTATTTATAATATAGATATAACGATACAGAGATCATTTCTGACCAAAATGTAAAATAATTTTTTATTTCAAATAAGAAAATTCTACGTGATTTTTATTATATGTATTATTATTTAATACTGATATTAATAAAGTATACACATACCTTAAGATATTCGTATCTTAAATAATGCTGTGTGCTTTTATTTTATTGTATTAGGTTATATTATATATATATATTACGTATATGTTACAATAAATAACAATGGATTATTTTTGAAACTGATTTTTATTGTCGCACCTAATATATAATTACCATTGAATTTTTCTATCGTTTCACTCACTAAACGTTCTTCTAACGATTAAAATTTATTCCATACATCTCATCAACGACATTTCATCATTAAATCGAACTGGCTCGTTCTTTTTCTTTGCAATTAACGTAACTGACATTCAAATAAGAATTTAAAACAATTTTCCATACATTTATCCTAAATATTATCGCATCATTTACATTTAAAATTTTACCTTTCACACATATACAGATAGTAAAGGTATTAATTATCTAAAACAGATTAAACGTCCAAGACATCTTAACATTTGTTTTATCGACAATTAGGAAAAAATGTAATTATCTCATTTTTTTATTCTTCACATTTTCGTTTATTCTAACCGAGACGGCTGAATTTTGATATCGTTATGTGAAGAAGATATTAAAGCTAAATCTTTTCTCAAAAAATAGTTGATTAACATGAACACCGTGTTTTCGAGAGAAGGGAATCCTAATTGCTAAAGGTATGCTAACGGTCAAAAGTATGAAACCACAATCTTGATCTGCTGTAACCATTCATGATTGTTAGATGAAGCTCGAATCTATAATAATAATCAGTCGATATTTGCATTAAAAGTAATTAGTGCCATTTAGTGCTATATTGCCTATCTTCTTCTGATATAGCTATATTATCATTTACGTGTCTTTAATAATTAACTTTTGGCCAAATTACTTGTTCCTAGAGCATATGATGTAATTCCTGTGGTATAGGAATAAATTGTTGTTTATCAGTATATTTATATACTATTTAGAATCATTAATTGGCATAGATAAAGTGGGATTTTTTATATTTGTATATTGTAATTTAACGCTTAGAAGATTGGATGTAATTCTTCATAAATATATCTACTCATAAAAATATAAATAAATATATACATATAAAAATAAATGTTTTAAATGGTGAATTTGTTCACTTGTAAAAGAAACATGAATAATAGTATACTAAACAAAAACTATTTTTATTAAATCTTGAATAGGTTTTAAATTACAGAAAGATGTTTTAAAGTTTTAAAGGTGCTTAACATGTTACTATTTTCCAAATCAATTAGATATATTTCTGAACTATTTCTATATTATTTCTACTACTTTTAAAACACAAAAGAAATCTATAGTCCATCTTCTAAGTGTTAAGATATCAATAGCCTAATAAGATAATTTTCATTAAATTATCGTCAAAATTTTAATGAAGAAAATGGTCATTATCTAATTTTCATTTCTCAAGTTATTTTAAATGGTACTTATCATTTTACTTTCTTAGTATACATTATAAACTCATATTTGAAATTTCATTATATATTCATACAATTTCTTGTGAGGTCTTTTGAAAGTGTAATCTCATACTTTTGTCCGCATCGTTCGTTTATAATTGCTCATAAGTTTAATCCCAATGAACGAAAAGTGTGAATTTTAAATAAAATAAATATTCACTCCAATAATAAGTGCAAGTGGGAAACACAATGGTTGAATATTTTAGTCGTAAATTCTTGCAGAATATTTTAAAAGATCAAGAAATTGGTTTTTGATTTTAGTAATCAGATATTACACCGCAATTATTTATGGAGCTATGATAATGGTATGTAATACTAAACATTTAATATATAACAATTTATAATGCAAGGGATAAAGTGAATTCGAATTATTTATAAATACTAATAAAATTGTTACAATAAAAAAGAAAGAAAGATGTAACAAGTTCGTTCGTGTTTGAGCATCATGTATTATTACTCGCCTACAAAATCTATCTAACCACCAATGCACATTTTGTTTTGCCTTATTCTCTACTAAAGATGTGTTAAGTAACTTATTTATCTTTTCATTTTAAACTTTCCCGTTTGCTACTAAGAAGTTGATACAGATTTGTTTTACGTACTTAAAATTACTTAATAGCTTCTCGTGAAAAAGGGTCTCTAAATTTTAATGCAGTTAAGAATTAAATAAGATATATACGTTTCTAGTTTCATCAAATAAGCAACAATGTTACTCCGCAATTTTAAATTAGTTCTAGAAGTGCATTATCATTATTGTCCTGATTTGTAATAGATTTTTTTTCTGGATATTTGAAAACAAACTTTTATTCACCTGTCAAAATTATATTTTATAAATGGATCTCAAGAGAAGCAACTTCGTTTCATAAATTCTCAATTAATTCATGCAAAACCTAAACATTATATGCTACTTATTTATCATTTTCATTTTATATAACGTGTAAGAGAACTGAATTCTCTGAGTTATTCAAGACTCTATCAGCTCCCTTTCTAACATGTTTGTCAACTGTAATCTTAAATTCTTACAACCACATCTGCTGCTAATATTTTAATAACGTTATATCTGTATAGCATATACTATCGTAATGGAAACGAACTTATTACTCAACCCAATAGTACTGTCCCAAGAAGATACACAATCGATCATGTATTCAAAGATACTATTCAACGCGTAGAAATACAAATACAAATACTTTTAACATCAATGATACATCAACCCTTTTTCCACTTTTCATTCAATACGATTAAACTTATAAACGCATATCGATTTATTTGTTCGATATCTCCCACTGTATTCGCAAGCCCTATTTGCGCCGCAAAGAAGTATTCCTTATTGTGCGCGCGATCACTTAAAGTAGTATGGTAGATTGGTCGACCGACATCTTCTCGACGAGCAACCCCGTGGAGAACGTTCGTACACGTGATTTCCCTTTGGTGTCCCGTTTAATGACCTGGTCTCACGTGCCATTCGAGTTCACGTTGTAGTAATTGATGCGCTCGCTTCTCGACAGATACGCATACCAGTAGAACACGTTGATCGCTAGGAAGAACACGGGGAACACGATGCGGCTGGCCCGATCGATTTTCGATACGGAGTTGTATCTTGGCGTTCTCCTGCGTCGTCTTCGACCGGATCCTTTTCTACTCGGAGGGGATTGACGAGGAGGTGGACTACAGGCTACGCAGGACATTTGCCAGTGACCCACTGTAGGATTTCTGCTGGGTTCTGGAATTGCCGACAAGGGTATCACTTCGATCATGCCGTCCTCGTTCATTGTGAAATTCCGACTTGGGTGTCCTCGTGCTGCTAGGTTTCCGGCAGTCCTTTTGTGCGATTGGGATACCTGAAATAAAAGTCCTTTAAGCTGAATAGAATCGCTCGGGGGAAGCGTAGAGACAAATATTTTTTCTGATATTCCTCTGGGTTATGATCCTCCGTTGCTTCGAGGTGATGGATCATTCTTGTGATTTTGCGTGTTAGTTTCATCGGCGGGAGGATGTTTTATAATGCAGGCTGAGGTAAAAATAATTTTTCGTTAGAAAAATGAATAGAAATAAAATAAATAATAAATTTACATTAAGACTTGTAATACGGGTAGAAATATCATATATATAAATAATATCAATTAAAGTGTCACAATGAAAATAATTGGGTGTATATAATTACGTTTTTATTTCAATAAAAATCAATATTAATTTTATCAAAAGCCACTGCATGTTCTCAATAACTGCAAAATTAAAGAGTCTGAAATTAGTCAATTTAATTGATTTGATAGTTACGGAATTTGTGATTGGTCATGAATGTAAATTTACCTTAAATGAAGATATCTCTGTGCGATAACAACCTATGTACAACTTTAGAAATCCAATTATTTATTCGATTGAATTAAACTAACCTTTAGAAATCATTTACATTCCCTTTATATTTCATGTGCTATATTGTTGTATGGAAATTGGAAAATGTACATGTTCTTTCTTTTATGCAAATTAAAGTATCACGAACCAAGTAGTTTATATTGCTCATTTATATGGAACGAAGAATGCGATAATTTGTTAAATTCTTCTGCATCTGTCGAATTGCATCTATCAATTCGAAGAATTTTATTCCTCGTTTTACGAACCAAGCTGACAATACCAAGAGTATTCGTGTTTTCATCGCGCGTTTAAATTCAGCAAGTTTTCATTCGATTGTTTGCATTCGAGGTATAGAACGCGGTATAAAAGGTACAAAAATTACCGGTTCTTTCTTCAATGGCCGCGTATCCGTTTCCTCTTCGTCGCTGGAAGTCTCGCTTTCGCTTAGGTCGGAGCTGAAATAACACTCGCCGGAACCGTACTTGGTGAAATAGTGGACCACGGCGAATTGTATAATGGTGGCGAAAATGAAGGCGAACGAGAGAAAAACGAAGAAGTCCAGGGCAGTGGGGTAAGGAACTTTTGGCAGATCGGTTCGTGCCTCCAATCCCAAAAACGTCATTGTTAGCACGGTTGTAATTCCTTGAAACAGACATAACAATTTTCACTATATTTTATTCTCGATCGATAAATCACCGAAAAGATTTCGAGGTAAAGAAACTTGGAGAAAAATTTCCACTTACTTAATTTTTAATTACTAATGATAAAACATTTTTGCTCGAACATCTTCGCGAATTCACTGAGAGAAAAACTGAGGATAAGATGCTTAGAAACCAGTCGATAGAATTTTTACAAGTTATTGGGATTTATCAAAAATTCTTATATTCTTTATTTGCCGTTGAAACGAAGTACGATCAAAGTACAAACTTACCCAGAGATACACGATCTGCAGTGGCTTCTCGATTTAACCAGAAGGAGACCCAAGATAGGACAACAAGTAAGACACAGGGCCCGTATACTTGTATGAGAAAATTACCCATGTGCCTTTGTAGATGAAAGTATACCAGCAGCATCGAGTACTCCGCTGTAATCGGATAATATAATATATTTTAGTACACCGACGAGTTTATTATTGATCTATTCTACTTAACTTTTAATATCTTCTAACATTCCAACACGGTACCGTTACAGTGTAATTTCTATATGGTATTGTTAGTATGGTATTTATAATCCATCTTTTCTATCCCAAAGAAAACGAAATCGCAAGGATTATATCGATATAAACCAATATCACTGGTGAAAATAACAAAGCAGCAAGTTAACTCAATTTTCCGCAATACTTTTCGTCCAATCCACTCTTACCCTTGGTTTCGTATAATATTTATTTTCCACTCGTTTCAATTTTCATCTCTACTCGAGCTTCGCACGAAATATCAACTGGAATCGGCCGGAATGGAAATCAAACACACCCTGCGATCATTAGATCCGTCGGTTACGCACAGAACCCATCAGCACCCAACGCACCCACTGCTCTCTGTTTGCTCGGATTTTTTCGCTCGACAACGTTTACAAGCCGGAGTAACATTATCGAACTTTGCCCGACACACCTCCCCTTTTGTTTCCTGCATATTATTTCCGGCATCCGAGGCGGTGTTTCGATTTGCCGAGAGCAAACAGAAACGATGATACGCGAATGTTTGCTCCGCGTTCATGGATCCTTTAAAAATTCCAACGATCCATCCGATGCAATCACAGCCACCATGTCGACGCTTGTTTGCGGACTATTAATCGATGCTAATCCAATTAAAAGTCCAAGTCCTTGCGACACGACGTCTTCCCTCTTCTCTCGTTGTCAGCTGATGGAAATACAAGAGGCAGAAGTTCTATGCAGGAGGATGCTGCAATTAGTCGTCGTTTCTCTCGCTGCCAACTTTCAACGTGGAAACCCTGCATCTTTTCTTCATCCTCCAACCCCTGTTTCCCCATCCACAATCTTCTTTTTCTCTTCTTTCTTCTTTCTTCTTCTTCTTCTTCTTCTTCGCGTCGTCGTTTTCTCGCACTACTTCCTGGCCCGCTTCAATCCCTCCGACTACTTCCGGGCTGGTTCATTCGTAGCGTCGATATTCTCGTAGAATCCGTAAGCGTGGCCCGATAAAAGTTTCCAATCGAGTTTCTTTGCTAGTCGTTAAGAGACCATTCCCTCCCCTCGTTTCTCTAATTCGAACGAGCCTTGGTCACCGACATTCTTCCCTATCAACGACTCTTATCGCGCGACACCATTTTCTTTCTTTCGTATTTCCCGCTACATTTCTCTTTTCTCCCTTTTCTTGGCTTTTCTCGATCGGTCTTCCTTGACATCGTTCTCGATGACTTTGAACGGAGTAATTCCTTGTACAGGGATCCTTGTTTGATACATAGGCGTAGGTGTATAAGGGATAAACATACTACGAGTGTAACAGAATTCTTCCAGCTGGGAATGAAATATAAAAACAATGAAATTTAAGAGAACTGATCATTGCTACTGTCCCAGTATCTTTCGAAACATCGGATTTATATCAATTATGTTAACATTTGTCGTATTTTACTCCATTTTATGAAGACTATATATTACACTTTAATCGAAGATTCGATATTTAACGATACCGTTTGAATAATGATTCTCTCTCTAAATATCGATACTATAATCAATACGAATACCCACTATAAGAGGTAGAAGTCCTTCTAAACGTGATAGTAATCGTAACAAATAAATCATAATTAAATTTCGAATAAAGAAGAATAAGATTGTAGGGATTTTAAAAATATATATGAATCAAAATATGAGTTACAGACGATACGATAAGCAACGAGCATGTACGTGAAATAAATTGAGCAGCTTCAGCGAGTTTTTTTGAGCAAAGTCTGGAATAAAGTGGCGAAGAGATTCGACTCACCGTGTGAAAGCGTCGCCGATGCAGAATAATTCGCAGTCGGATTGGCAACTAAATCGAATTGGGATAATTTCATGTCGTCGGCGATTGCTACTTGTCGGTCGCTGTTCCACTTGTAGATCACGTCCCTCTTCGTGTAACCGACTGCAATCAAGAGAATATTTCTTGCTAGCTTGTCGCGAAGGTGCTGTAAAAAAGCGTCGAATTCGTTCGCCGCCAAAGTGTCAGCTTCTTCGACGAAAAGCCTCTCGAGGGATCGGTACGTATATCTCTTACTGGTCTCTCTCTCTCTCTCGTTTCTCCTGCCACACATCCTTGCAGAAGAACCGACAATTACGCGGGGTCACTCAGTTATGGGGGTAAATTCATCTTTTTAATCTCGCGCCTTTGGGACAGGATGTCTGAGAGCTTTTATTGTATTTCCCTGATAATTCGTTTTCCATCTTTTCTAAAGTCAATTATCATCTGTTTCCCATGTAATACTTATTGTTAGTCGTGACTTTGTCGATCCAGTTAGATTATTTCTTTTTTTAATGACATTCATAAAAATTTTATTCATCATGGATATTAAGAGAGAAGAAAGGAGAGACGAGAGAGACCAAGATCTGAAATTGCTAATGAAATTCTGGAGATTCTAAGCTTCTTAATTTAAAGTATAGGGAGGAGATGTTTTTCTTTCCAAATATTGATTTTCGCTAATTTAGGTACTTTAAATTCGCAAACGTACAACTGCCAAATTGTAGTGGACATCTCTGCGTATCCATCGGGAAATTTTCAAGGTTCATTGGACATCCTGCCTTGATCGTGAGTCTGTAATAAAACACGTACATCGTCATGGAAAATGAAAATTTACGAGTAAAATCATACGTAAGATATCAAATCTGTATATACCCAATTTTTCAGAAAACATTACCAAAAATGTTTATACATTCTCACCAAATGCATCCATTAAATCGTGAAAACCTATTTTTCTCAGAAATAAAACTCTTGTAGAAACTCAGATCATTATAGTAGTGAAAAACGTCATAGTAATCATAACAAGTTTTAACCTGTAATAGATAAGACTAGTTGAGGAAGAACTCACGAATCTTTTTAAGCAGCTCCAACCTTCGTCAATACTTCCATCTTTTTCAAATTTCTATTAAAACGCTACCAAACATGATTCAAAAGAATTAATCATAATTATCTTATCCATGTTTCGTCGATGTAACAATCAGAGGGATCTAGGAGCTCTCTGTCTCAAAAACGAAATTTTTCTAAAAACTCGAAACATCGTTCAGTTAAAAGGATCACAGTATTTGAGCTTTAAGCTTTACTTAAAAAGATTCTCGAGCTCATCCTTGTCCAATCCTATTTATTACACTTCCAGCTTCCTCGTAAATTTCTACTAAAACGCTGGCAAACGTGACTCGAAAGGATTCGTGACGATAATCCTACCCATGTCTCATGGAGCCAACAAGCAGAGGACTCAAAGGGGATCCTGTCCATTAGACCTGTCCATCTGTTCGACACGGTCCTAGCCAACGCGTAGGTTACTCTAACACCTGCCATCGGCCATTTTGTTCGTCGTACATGGTGGACATGACAACGGATACACTAGCCCTCAAAATATTCGATTCACGCACGCTGTTTCCCACGTGTTGCTTATAGTATCGCGGTCCGTCGAGCATGGGCTACCTAATTAGCGTGTACAATGCTCACACGGACGAAATCTAGGACCGTGGTATCGGAAAATATTATTTAGCGTCGCTAGAACGGGCGTTTTCGGACGCAACGGACGATGAGGGACGAGCCACGGCTTAGCTATTGTTCTTTTAGCGCGAACGGACAGTTGGCGGCTACGGATTTTCGCGAAATACCAAGCAATACGTGGAATAATCTTCCACTGCTGCATTTCTCTAGCTGTTCCACGGCTCCTATTGCTTTAATCTCTTTGGAGAAGCTTACCAGGTTGCCGCATACGAAACGTTCTATGGAATTCGTACACTGACAGATCGGTATCATCCCTCGAATTTGACACTATCGTCGATCTTTATTAACGCTAAACGTACCGGTATTTTACACACACCTATTCTTACCATAGGGGGCAAATGACCCTTTATGGTATATCAGGTATGCAAAGAATTTTTCTTGGTAAAAAATAAGTTAAAAGAAAAATATAGAAAAATAAGTTAAAGCGAGAAATTAAACAATCAGATAATACGAGAATTTACAGAAAGTCAGATGAGTGAAAGAAATAACAATTTATAAAGTAAATTTTGAAACGGGTTATTTGACCCAGCTTGCTACGTTTAGTGTTAATTGGTGTGACAGAAGAACCGACAATTACGCGGGGTCACTCAGTTATGGGGGTAAATTCATCTTTTTAATCTCGCGCCTTTGGGACAGGATGTCTGAGAGCTTTTATTGTATTTCCCTGATAATTCGTTTTCCATCTTTTCTAAAGTCAATTATCATCTGTTTCCCATGTAATACTTATTGTTAGTCGTGACTTTGTCGATCCAGTTAGATTATTTCTTTTTTTAATGACATTCATAAAAATTTTATTCATCATGGATATTAAGAGAGAAGAAAGGAGAGACGAGAGAGACCAAGATCTGAAATTGCTAATGAAATTCTGGAGATTCTAAGCTTCTTAATTTAAAGTATAGGGAGGAGATGTTTTTCTTTCCAAATATTGATTTTCGCTAATTTAGGTACTTTAAATTCGCAAACGTACAACTGCCAAATTGTAGTGGACATCTCTGCGTATCCATCGGGAAATTTTCAAGGTTCATTGGACATCCTGCCTTGATCGTGAGTCTGTAATAAAACACGTACATCGTCATGGAAAATGAAAATTTACGAGTAAAATCATACGTAAGATATCAAATCTGTATATACCCAATTTTTCAGAAAACATTACCAAAAATGTTTATACATTCTCACCAAATGCATCCATTAAATCGTGAAAACCTATTTTTCTCAGAAATAAAACTCTTGTAGAAACTCAGATCATTATAGTAGTGAAAAACGTCATAGTAATCATAACAAGTTTTAACCTGTAATAGATAAGACTAGTTGAGGAAGAACTCACGAATCTTTTTAAGCAGCTCCAACCTTCGTCAATACTTCCATCTTTTTCAAATTTCTATTAAAACGCTACCAAACATGATTCAAAAGAATTAATCATAATTATCTTATCCATGTTTCGTCGATGTAACAATCAGAGGGATCTAGGAGCTCTCTGTCTCAAAAACGAAATTTTTCTAAAAACTCGAAACATCGTTCAGTTAAAAGGATCACAGTATTTGAGCTTTAAGCTTTACTTAAAAAGATTCTCGAGCTCATCCTTGTCCAATCCTATTTATTACACTTCCAGCTTCCTCGTAAATTTCTACTAAAACGCTGGCAAACGTGACTCGAAAGGATTCGTGACGATAATCCTACCCATGTCTCATGGAGCCAACAAGCAGAGGACTCAAAGGGGATCCTGTCCATTAGACCTGTCCATCTGTTCGACACGGTCCTAGCCAACGCGTAGGTTACTCTAACACCTGCCATCGGCCATTTTGTTCGTCGTACATGGTGGACATGACAACGGATACACTAGCCCTCAAAATATTCGATTCACGCACGCTGTTTCCCACGTGTTGCTTATAGTATCGCGGTCCGTCGAGCATGGGCTACCTAATTAGCGTGTACAATGCTCACACGGACGAAATCTAGGACCGTGGTATCGGAAAATATTATTTAGCGTCGCTAGAACGGGCGTTTTCGGACGCAACGGACGATGAGGGACGAGCCACGGCTTAGCTATTGTTCTTTTAGCGCGAACGGACAGTTGGCGGCTACGGATTTTCGCGAAATACCAAGCAATACGTGGAATAATCTTCCACTGCTGCATTTCTCTAGCTGTTCCACGGCTCCTATTGCTTTAATCTCTTTGGAGAAGCTTACCAGGTTGCCGCATACGAAACGTTCTATGGAATTCGTACACTGACAGATCGGTATCATCCCTCGAATTTGACACTATCGTCGATCTTTATTAACGCTAAACGTACCGGTATTTTACACACACCTATTCTTACCATAGGGGGCAAATGACCCTTTATGGTATATCAGGTATGCAAAGAATTTTTCTTGGTAAAAAATAAGTTAAAAGAAAAATATAGAAAAATAAGTTAAAGCGAGAAATTAAACAATCAGATAATACGAGAATTTACAGAAAGTCAGATGAGTGAAAGAAATAACAATTTATAAAGTAAATTTTGAAACGGGTTATTTGACCCAGCTTGCTACGTTTAGTGTTAATTGGTGTGACGATCTTATAGTTTAGACATTATTTTGCAGGATGTAAGAAGGTTTGACGTTCCCACGAATGACTATAGTCCATCCAAACAGACGGGGTACCAGTGTTCACATTAACACCTGATCAGTTAAGTGGTGTTAGGGTAGGTTAGGTCTTCTTTCGAACGAAAGAAGATTCTATTCGAAGTTTCGCGTTATTATTGTGATATCTCAATGAACCAAGTACCTATATCGACATATGTATTTCTGTCAAATTAAATTACGACACGAAAGCACAAGTCTTACGTCGAAATTAAGATGGATCGAAGAGGAACGTCAAGAACAGACGGACACAAGGCCACAAAGGGTCGAAGAAACTTCTAACGAGATAACTTCTGACGAAATTAAAAGAACTCTCAGAGAAATGTCTAATATTACGGATATTCTGTACCGATAATCGGAGCATTCTTCTGGATTTCCTACGCGAATTTAAACTTGGAAAAATCGTAGTCTCGAAAAACGTTGCGAAAGAAGCGAATGGACGCTGCCCGTTGCAGTTTTTAACGAGTGTAATCTGCCATCGGGAACGATTTGCAAGCGTCCTCTATCTCACAGACTCGCGAAAATTCGCGCACGTTCGTGCCTAAGGGAAGATATCGAGGATAGTTCGGGAATCAGCTCGACCAGTTTGACCGAGTTATCGTGCCAGGCATCGAGTAAGTTAGCCTACGAAATACGAGACGATCCGTGACTAATCGGATCCATCATCCTGGCATTCTCGATCGGTCAATTTGTAGCCAGGATGTGTTACATTTACCAGCGGCCGTGCCGTGGCCTGGATTAACTTCCGAATACGCTGAACGAGCCGTTTTCACAGTAGAATTCGGATTACTTCGAAGTTTCCTGCATCTGCAGAGATTTAGCGAGGCATCCTCTGAGAAAGCGCTCTCACCAATTTCACGAGTCGTTCTCGCCTGAAGACATGACAAGGCAGATTGACTTTTCGATTTAAATGTCTTTGCTTTACCACTCCTCGAGTTAATTTCTGCATCGCTGTGTATGAAATTAATTTCTTAGAGTTAGAGTCGATGATTTGGGAGGAAGAGTAGCGGAATTCGAAGGCTATTAAGAGCTTTGCTGAGAATAATTATATTTTTCTTGAGATTGGAAAATTATGAGATAAGATACGAAAATTCTAGCAAATAGAATACGAAAGATCTGTAAAGGATCTTTAGATCAAAGTATTAAATCAGTGTTATTGTAGAGTTTGCCTTTAAATTTTGAGATGATGAACACTAGGATCCTAATTCTCTCAGTCATGGAACTTAAACCTCATATCTTATTAATAAACTTTGAATTTGCGAGATCATGTATCTTATTTTTGAAATTCACGATCTAGTACCCAGAGACAAGGTTTCATTGACTGTTCTGGGACCTTGGTTAATCGTCCCTAGGGATTTGTAGTTTGCTACCACGTCTAGGAATATAGATCACTGCGGTCGACGAATGAGTCGTAGTTGCAAATTTTTGGGTTTATAAAGTTCGAAATGGTCGACGGTTCGACGGAGGTTTCACAAACCTGGGCTGCTGCAGATTATGATCGCATAATTCCAAGTTTGTTGGGTGCAACGTAGTCGTGCTAGGAGTACAGCATTAGGGTATCTCTGGCGTCGACCTCGACCACTAGTTAGATAGATAGACCGGAGATGATAAAGCATATGTCCCGAGTTCTAATTAGAATTCTGGCAATGCACGCGTGTATTAAATTTAATTACTGTAAATATACGCCGAGAAACGATATAAACAAGCCAAAGTGTTGACAGTCTCTTCGAAGAGTTGGAATTGTATCGAGATTCCTATTATTTCACTCGACGTTTAATTGAAATGATTAACCAGGTACATCATGCAAAATGCTCCACTTTGCAATGTGATTTACACGTAGTCAGTTATATACATACATACTATACACACATACAATAGTAGTACAGGAATACTGTTTTTGGCAGATATAGAGGATAAGAGATGTTATTTTATTCTAAAATATATGTTTATTACGAGCTAAATGATATTAGGAGTAAAGTATAAACTAAAAAATTAGACTAGGAATTGATCTATGAGTGTCACGTACTTTGACTGTGCACATTAAAATCCACCTAAGACTACCTCTGACCTAAACTCTGCCAAAAACTTCCTACAAAGCTGCCTAAAGACTGTCCTTGCACTCCTATTTAAACCTAACAGTCTCGTTCATACAATCCTTGCACGTGGATGGTCCAAGTGTTCCCATGAACTCACTTTTGAACCATAAAAATATCCTAGAGTAGTACGAAGAATACGTCGTAACCTAAATGTCAAAGTACAATAAACTGATCGTGGTACCTGTTATTCGGAATAAATAATTTGTCTGCGTCTCCAAGTTTTCTTCTTCATTCCTAGTGTCAAATATGTAACCTAAATGTCAAAGTACAATAAACTGATCGTGGTACCTGTTATTCTGAATAAATAATCTGTCTACGTCTGCCAAGTTTTCTTCTTCAGTGTCAAAATTTGCAACTAATTTGTGGTTGCAATTAAATCAGGGATAAACATTGATTAAACGTGTTCCAATTTCTTTCTGTTCCATTTTATTGTTCGAGATGTTTCTCACGTATCGAGTTTTAGTCTTGCTACCTTTAGCTGCAATTTCGATCCAGGATTGAGCACGTTCAACTGAGGATAGGTCTCGAGCAATTTGCTTTCGACGATTTTCCACTGTAATTTCGTTGTTTTCTAAGTGTCCTTTATAGGACCAATCATCGCTGTGACTCTGATCGATCGATCTTCTTCCAGACAATCGACCATTCGATACCATGCTCTCGACGAGAAGCTTAATCCACGATTGCTGTCAACAGTTCCATGGCACTACGATTCTCTTGTTTTTCGGGACTTAAAGAAAGATAAAATAAAATACGACAAACATTTTACCCGAAAAAACATTTACGTTCATTCGAATAATATTAAAAACGATTTATATCGGCACATTCAATGGCAGGAAAATTTCCTTTCATTTTCTCCTTATTTTTCCTATTCATTATTCACAGTCAATCCTGTTCAGTAAAAATCAAAACTTGCTGCAAGAATTACAAATTTTGAAATCGTTCGTCTTGCAAAATGTTTGCAATTACAAAATCGAATTTTAAAATTGTTGGCTTCGTTTCTATTATTTTTTTCTCTCTCTTCAATTACGATTTTCGTTGACACGTCACATTTTCTTGTTCTTGATCGGCCACAGGGTCGTTACTGCCACCGAATTCGTTTGAAAAGTTGGCACGATGATTCTGGACGTTGCAAACGTATCTGGTGACGTCTGAAGGCGTGTTAAACGTCGTTTACAACGGCGAACCTTCGCCTTAATTGCCAGGCCGGAAGCAGGAAACGTTTCCGAAGTTGAAAAGGGCTCGTTGGTACATCAAACGCAAGGGGAAAGACTTGTTCATCGGCGTGCGAGGAAAGAGGAAACGCCATCTTCTTTTTCGCGCCGTTCTCCAAAGCTT